TGAACCCCACATGAAGCAGAAGCCAACGAGACGGAGACCAGTACGGAAGAACGTCACTGTACTCTCAGATTCATATCGAGTCATATGTTTCGGTATTTAGAATTTGTTCTTCATGAAATTTTAGAACTTATAATGACAACAGTATCTTTAAAGTAAATTCAGTTATCTAAGTAATTATTTATTGCCACCTCTACTCCTGTGAAAGTGATAAGTAAGTTAAATATTTTCGCGCCTTCGAAACAAATAGCACATGAGCCCAATAATGTTAAAATCCGGTTACCTGTGGCACATGTGGATGTGAATAACGACACTTTCCATTTGGGTATGAAAATAAGAAACAACATTTAAAAATGAATACATATTGAGCATATTCTTACTTTTTTTCTGACTTAAAATCAAAGAAATGTATTAAAATTACAAACGCAGATCCAAGCAATCTCTAATCATAACATAAAAAGTAAACCTTTTAAGTGTCAAAAATGTATTGTTTTTGTTTGTTTGTTTGTTTTTGAAGTTATGCACAAAGCTACACAACGAGCTATCTGTGCCCTGCACACCAAGGGTATCGAAACCCGGCTTCTAGCGTTGTAAGTCCGCAGACATACTGCTGTGCCACTGGAGGCATTCAAAAATGTAAGAAAGTGGCTACAGTCAGTGGCGCACCTGAATGGAGTTAATATCTGTGTACATTCATAGATAAAGCAGAGTTATCCATTGTTTGTTTGTTTGATGCCTTGATCACACACATTTTTGAGAGTAACTTGCTGAACCAATTCTGATTAAATTTAGCAAAGGAACTGATGTGGACCTCAAAGATCGAGTTAATTTTAAATGAATATAAGCAACATGATGAACTGTTCGGGTTTGGCATATATTTCAATGTTTACTACGTGAAACCGACACCAAATGAAAGTGAAGTTCAATAACACTGGTAGGACGGATACCTTTGTTGTTTGGCGAGTGATGTGCACGCACGCATGCCATCCCCGTAAAGTCAACGAAACATATGTCAATTAATATATATATATATATACACATTCTCAGCCGTTCTGCTTCTGAGAATGAGAATTAAAACCATATTTCTCTATTTTAAGTTCCCCGATGAGACAGAGGTAACTCTACGGACTTGCAACGCTAAAATGTGGGGTTCGATTCACCACGGTGGACATAGAAGATAGCCCAATGTGGCTTTGTTCTGAAAAACAACAACACAAACACACAAAAATCTCTATCTTAAAATGTACATACATTTACTGAATTACATCCGCAACGAGTCCAGTCATGTAAGGATTCGGGTGAGTTAGGTATTAAATTAATTAGTTATTATTATTTTTTAAATTGTGCTTCTCAATTTAATGGTCGATACTTTGCAGTTTTTCTTTTCTTTTTTGCAGACAATTTCTTTTCCTGTGCTACATCTATACAAATTATGTATACATATACGAAAACTCTCATCTTTTTTATGGAAAGTTACTGCATTCTAATAAATATGCCCCCCCCCACACACACAGTGGCACAGCGGTATGTCTGCGGACTTACAACGCTAGAATACGGGTTTCGATACCCGTGGTGGGCAGAGCACAAATAGCCCATTGTGTAGCTTTTTGCATAATTACAAACAAACAAACAAATCTAAAAATTTTTAGATTATTTGAGAAAATAGATCCATAATTATTTTGATTTGAGGATTAGTTAACGTCATTAAAATCTAAAAAAAGTAGAATAATTGTGTGAACAAATTTTGTTCTAATATTAGTCAAGAAATTAGCTTCTGATCTATGTGACACAAATGATAGAGTGGTATGATATAACCATTAAACATCTATAGTATTCTTTATAACTCAGTGTTGCAAAACCACATTGGAGAATAATATGCAATTTATTTTAATAACACAGTGGTGCGGAAAGTTTGTGAGATTGAGCATTATCCTGGCCCTCAAGTGAGTGAGTATAGAAGTTTTAAGCGATGCTGAAAAGAAGTTGCGGCAACTCTACAGTTATTATGCAGATATCAGAGAAGGAAGGTAGTTGAGAAATTTAACTTCTTCGAAAGCAAAGTGATAAATTTATTATAAAAAGTGAAAATTATTTCGTTGCAGCCTGATTTTCTGAAACAATAGTCAAAATTTAGTAACTATCAAGTGATCACACTTGTTAAACTAAAAAAAATCGAAAGTTTTTGTATAATATTAGTTATTACACACACTGCAACACACCAGCAGTGCAGTAATCTTTACTCGGGGCAGCAGTTTATATAGGAGTCACCGAAGTTACTGCCGGTGCAGTAAGGCAGTTTTGAACAGGTAGGCGTATTTGTTTACATTCACTGATGAAGTGGTAATATTTAATACAGGGTGTTACTTATTAAATATTAACAAATTTATTTATGGTTTATTCATGAAATATAATTTTACAAAGACTTAAGACTAAAGCATTGTTTCAGTCACAGTGGATAGAGTTTTGATTAAATAGTTTTATTCTTTCTTATTAACACATTTGATATTGATAGGAGTGTGGGTATTAAAGCCAATCATAGCCTCGGTTCTCACTCGTTTTTAGCATATTATGATTTACATGCTTATTTTGCTCTCTGTTTTTATAGATTTTTGCAGTGTTTCTTGTAATGAATTATGATGGATGCTTTTAAAGATCAGCAGTCTTTATCATCAAAATCTAAACTACCTTCAAGTCTCATTCCTCGTCTATGGCGATCTCAGTCTCTTAGGGAAAAAGGAAAACAACTTGTTTTGCCTTCATTCAATGAACAGTTGGAGGAATTCAACTTCCATGTTCCTTACAGTAGGCATTCTATTACATCTCGAGTCCCAATTCCTATTCGCAAAGTTGGTCAAAAGCACCACGGTTCCACTGAAATGTGTTTCAGAAGCCGTAGTGTGACAATTGGACATCCAATACAAAGTCAAGAATATTTTACACCAATGACACCTGATGGTGAAAATGGCTCATTAAAAAGTTTTGGAAGTTCTGGCAGCTTCATGTCATGTGACATCACCCCACGATCTGTGTTCAGCAGGTCGTCATCTTATGGAGTTAATTGGGTACCCCCCGAGAAGAAATACATTCTCCATTGTCAAAGAACTTATGAATCTCCGGAAGAATACCTTACACCCACACAGAGAAAAAACAGACAAATCCACCAGTTGAAGGCTGCATTAGCTAGAGCCACAAAAGCATGTGAAGTAAAGGATGTTGAAATAGAACATCTTTATGCAGAGGTGGAACGTTTACGCAGGTCTTCCTTACAGGTTGGTAGTACTTTTTGATTAGGAAAAAAAAATTTTATGGGTTAAAATTGGTAGTTTTAACTTTTTAAAAAATAAATAGAAACTAAGTGTAATATATTGATTACATGACTATGTCAGGGGTCACACTTGTATTTTAAAAATTGTGTATTACAAATGCGTATCTTTATATATGTAATAACATGTATTGCAACAGTCTATGATGCAATCAGCATTAGACTATAGCCCTCCACCAGTAGGACGGTGATACAGCCTTCATGGGCAGTAGTACCCTTAAGTACTTTTGAATACCAAAAGCTCATTCTTTTCCTTAGCATTTAGGTGTTCAGCCTTATTCTTTTTTCATTAAGAATTATGGAATTATTGCATTTATTATTTTAAACTGTTAGTTAACATTAGTGTTATCTTTCCCACCTTCATTTTCTTTATTTTGAGAAAGAAAAGATGCAATTTTTTTAATTGATTTAAGCTAGAGCTTAGATATGAATTATTATATTTTGTATATTAGTTTGATTTTTTTCTCTTAATCAATATAAGAGTTTAGGATGCATGTTTAAGAGTTTGTGTTATGGTTTCTTTGACAGGAATATTCTCTACTGACATTAACCCAGTTTTTGGGTTTTAGCAAAAGCCAATTATTAATCTCAGTTTTGGCACTACAGAAATGACCAATGCCCAAGTACCCTGGATATTCAGATGTATGTGAAATAAAATGGAATGTTGAAATAATAATATTAATACTTTCCATGAATTCATTTTGTGTGGATCTTATTTAATACTATCTCTCATATCCACTTTTCTGGAACCTATCATGGTTCATTTTCTCCTCCATAGTTTTTTTATTTTCTTTAAATGGTGGGTGGAATTAATTTGATGGCAGGCAGTGTTACCTCCATTCTATACCATGTGGCTAATTCTATTCTACTTTCTTCGTCTCGGACCATGGATAAAAGGCCTCCTGTTTATGTAACTTCTGCTAAGCCTGTCTTGTCTTTGGATGACTTTGGTCAACTCTTCCCTTAAATTGTATTTGCTTCTTGTTCTTATATTCCTGATAAAGATCATGTAGTGCCCATTTTTTTCCTTTGCTGCTCTGAGAGCTTAGGTATGTGACACTTGTTTTCTTATTCCAACTATTTCTGCTGGTTCTCATGCAAGCTTCTTGCAAGCACCTCAACTCTATTTTTCCCCTCTTCTTCCCTTGTCTTATTGTTTCATTATTACAGGTTTTTTCCCCTTTTAATTTGTATTGACTCTCACGTGTTACATCTTCTCCAAACCTAAGACTTTTCCTGTGACCTTAGGTTGGACTTCTCTCTCTTCTCTGGTGCCCCTATCTCTTGAATCTCTTCTTTCAGCTTTGACTCTCTTTTACCCTCAGTCTGCATATCTTCATCTTTTGCTTATTCACCTTTTTAGCTTGCTGTCCTTTACCCTTCTGAAGCTTCACATCACAATCCCTACAGCTTAACTGGGAAAAGTTTCTCTGACCTATTCTTAATGCTGTCCCTTTTTTTTTTTGCTGTTGCTTAGTTAGCTTGTTTTCTTTGTCTCTCGGATTTACTTAATGAGTATGCCTTATTATCTGGAGTTAGACTTTCAAAGTTTTATTGGAGGGAAATCCACTTGTCACCTTCCCTTTCTGCAGAGATCAATCATCGTGAGGTGATTACTTGTTTTCTTACCCATACTTCATCTGTGGGAGCGTGGCTCTTACACTTCATTCACCTGTGGACTCACTTTGCAGAAAACTCTTGGATCACACAGGTTTTCTCTCATGAGCTTTTTTTTTTGTCTTTCACAGCTCACATCTATCTGTTTTCTGAGGGCTTTCACAGGAATAAGGCACTCGTTGGGTCTTCATTTTCTACACAATGTTAATATTTGACAGTTCCTAGCCCTGCCATGGGAGGCATCATATGTTATGACCTCTCTTGTTCTTCAGGAGTCTGCTCGAGTGGGTTGTCTGGTTAGGCTCATAAATGAGTTTCGACTTCCATTCAGTACTTGATTGATTTGTAAGTCCTTACAATATTTGCTGGGTAAGGTCAATGGACTAAACTTTCTACTTTTATTTTTTTTAGTTATGGAACTTCTGGTTTCTAAGGTATTTGTATCACCTTTTTTCTTATGGGTGATATTCTGTCTCATTTAGGGACTCTTCCCTCTCTTGTGTCCATTTTTCCTCTGGATGTTTCCTTTTGTGTACCATTTAGTAGATTCCACCAGACCAGTGGAATATGCCTTTTGCTCCACTGTCTTCTCTGATTTCTCTTCCTCCACTTCTTGACCTCTTGCTTTCATAGTGATCTGACCATTTCTACATTACTCTGAGCATCCATCTACTTCCACCTGGCCCATACTTGACTGCTTCTCTAGCCAGGTGGAGTTCTGGATACCTTCACTATTTCCATTACGGTGTAATTCCACATCAGTTCCTTATAAATGTTTATACTTGAATAAGAGGTATTCACTTTAGGACCACATTTTATTGTCAAGCTTCTCTTTTGCACTCAGGATAGCAACATACAGTTGTTGACCTTCCATGTTCTTGGAGCTTTGAATTTAGTGGCATATTGGCTATCTTGCCTGGACTGAATTATTATTCTAGAATGTTCCTTACATTTGATTTTCTGTGGATTTGTTCCCACTTAAGTAATCCTCTTATTATTGCATATGTGAGTACTTTACACCAAGCTTCCACTTTTTTTGGTAACCAGTCCCACACTCTGTGTCCCTGGCAGTATTTTCTTTGCACCTCTTTCTGTATGCCTATCATCCTCTTCAACTTCTTCCCAGGGTTCTGTCTTTAATTTACAGTTGTCAGATTTTTCTCATTCTCTGTCTTTGGCCAGCTTAAATGTGATTTCTGTTCCTATTCCTTTTGACAATCATGGAACCTCTTTCTTCTATCTTGGAGATTTCCTTTTACATCAGCTTCTGATGTCCATCTTTCACCACAATGTTCTATGCTTTTGTCTTCCCTTATGGCTTTTGAGTAATTCTTTGCAAGACCATCATGTTTATCTTGCAGAGTAGTTTGCTTTCTTTTGTTAGACATCCTCCCTTGCAAGTTATCACTGCAAATGGATAGTTAAGACTGTTCCACTTACCATTCCTTTCCTCTGGGTTCCCCAACTGTTCCTCATCTCAATTACTTTATCATGTTCATTGTACTTTCTCGCCCTGGTTCTTATCAACCTCTTCTGAGCCTTTCTAATAAGTAATTCTCCTCATTTGTTTCCTTTTCCAAACTGGATCTTCTGTTTGGTTCTCAGGACTCTTAAATGCCCTCCATTCAAATCTTTGGCCATCTGTTTCCTGTATCATCTGTATAATAAGATGTATTTTCTTCTCATTCTTGATTCTGAGAGCTGTTCTGATATTTTTCCCACAGACATTTCCTACAAGGCCAGGTTTATTTTATTCCCAGACTGCTTCTTCCTAAATATTTGAGCTACTTGAGAGAGTGATGACATGTTTTCTCCAATGCATGATTGTTCAGACCTTAGCCATATTTGTGCTGTGTGGGTAGTTTGCTGTTATTTCATTCACACTGGTCAATTTTGAGGCATTTGACATAATCTTATTTTGTCATGGGATTCTTCTTGTTTTATATGTCCTTCTGTTTGACATTTTAGTTTAAAGAACTCCTCAGACTTGTCTATTTCTTTTTGGGAGATTCTTCTTTTGGCTTTCCCATGCCACCTTCCATCAAGTTTTTCATCTCTTGGCTTCTTTTGCCTTTGTCCATAGTTGTCTACTGAATGAGATATTGCAGGTAATTATATGGTAGACATCCCACACCATTTTGTCATACTACTTACACATTGTAGTTTCTTTTGCATCTGGGTTTTGTGTCCCAACAGTCTCCAATCTTCCCAGAGACTCTTAGGAGGTGATTTATTCAATATATCTTTGTCTTGAATCTTCTACACAGAGAATATATATACTGAAAACAATGGAACTCACCACCTGGTTGATGTTGCTTCACAGGCAATCCTTATCTTTCCTGAAATCCACATCACATAAGGGATAACAGGAAGTGTTAAACCAATTTGCCTCTGCTCAGTGCTTGCTGTTGAGTGCCACAGCAGTTTATACATTTATCTTCCAAGTCATACTGCTACTTGAAAAAAAAAGCAGCACTGGTTGTGGTTTCTTGCCATCTCCTGCTGCTCCAGTTTGTGATAATCCATAGCATAGTCTTTCAGTTTGAAATTTTATGCAGATGTTAGGTTATTCCTCTTTGATTTCTATACCACTCTTGAGTTTTTTGCCTATGCAAATTGCTCTCCTTTTCTACTAGTGGAATGGAATAATCATTGTTTCCCCAGTACAAAGTTGTTAGGGAGGTTGTTATAGAAAGTTCCTCTTCAGGTTAGTATAGTGTCACTGGTATTACACTGAATGGACACACATCTTGCTTGGAAGAAGTTTAAGGGTGTCTAACTAGAGGTATAGTACAGGTCACCCCTACATTAAGAACTGGAACATTCCCAATAGTGGTATACAGCTAGATGGATCTTGCTTTTTCCCCAGGATGCAGGCCTGGGATGATTCGTCCCTGTACCTGCTTAATCTGTTAAGTATATCATCTAAGTATTTTATGTATATTGTATAGCTTGATTTATTGCCATAATCACATTACATGTACATAGTCTGTCAACCCCTGAGATATACAGGCCAGTTTTGTAGCCTTTACATTCCCCTCGCCTTTGCAACACTTTACCACCACACAGGAGGATCGATCTTTTGACAGTATCCTTCTGCGGTACCATTTGTTTGAGCAAAGGTTATTTTTTACTTTGGATGAATGTTGTCTCCCACATAGTGATGCTCCTACTAGGACACTCCAACTTTGTGGGTGATACACTCCATAAGTTTTCCCTTTCTGTTGCATTATTCTCAGAAAGGAGCTCATCTCTTTAATTTAATTTTCTACACTGTTCCCTCCACCTAGCTATTTGTTCTATGGAGAAGTGAGTAGCATTTTTGAAGTTAACATTTTCCTTACCTGGAAACGTATTTCAGATAGGTAATCACCTCTCCATAGAATCACTAACTATTTGTCTCATCAAGAATGAAATTTGGTATATGCAAAGTGCTCAAGGATTTGTTGCCTTCCTAGTGGTGGGTATAGCCTAATGCTGATTGAGTTATAGATTGTTGCAGAACATGTTATTATGTATAGAGTTGGAAGTTTCATTCAAAGACTTGGTGCATTCACAAAAACTTTTTATCAATTGCATGAAGTATTAGATATTTGTTTTGAGGAGAGGTAAGTAGTGAGTAGTATTTCTGAATTGCCTTTTATTTAAGGAAAATGTTAAAATAAATGCTACAAGTAAGCTGATCTATTTAAAGATGAAGTGTGGCTGTTCATTAACTTAATAAAAAGATTAAAAAGACAAGTGACAGTCAGAAGCTGTAGATCATATCTGCAGTTTTTGAACTCATGACATGCATGTACCTTCCACATAATATTTGCTGAAGTGGATAGATAAAAGGGTATCCTGATCCTATTGTTTCCAGATAATCTCATTGGCTTAAGTAAATAAAAACATTTTATGAGTTGTACATGTATTGTTGTTACAAAATATGAACACTCAAGGGAAGAAAACAAATTTAATGTTAAAATAAGATTTAAATCAAAAACCTGAAGGAGAGAAACTCAATGAAAAATAACTTACATAAATAGATTCTCCTTATTTTCTAAGATCTGCAGATATCTGACATAATGTGAATCAATCTCCTCTGATCATTCAAACTACATATTATAGACATAACACTATGAGTAGCCAAAGTTGTATGATCCCTATCAGGGTTTGCAGTCAGTACCAGTACCGGCCCATCAGTATTGGTGGTACTGGTGCTGGTTTATAGTATATCATATATTAAGAATAGTATCTGTTATCACATGTCTCATCTTCAGAGTTTTAACTGACTGTCTCCTCTGGTATTTCAGCTTTGCTTTTCACAGAATTATAAATGTTTGATGTGGTAGTTTTAAGTTCATACTTTAGTCTATAAGAGAATCTCGGTGAAAATTGGCAGTAGCATGAAATATGGGAAACTGGTAACTCCCACGCTCTGGAAGAGAATGTAAATGTGCCTACGTGACTAATTGCACATTATGTAGGTGCATGCGGGCAGGTCAAACTGCACATGTCACAATGTTTTAGTGAGTTATATTCAAAATGTAATTAAACTACTTAATTATCATGGCATATAAACAAACTTGATATCAAACCATAGATAATGAATCAAATCTTAATATTATATAACTTTTAAGTTCTTAAATGTATAAGATAATATTTATAAACAACCTTAAATTCTCCTAGTGTGAGAATTTGTATATTTGTTCTTGGGCCATCTCCTCTTCTAGATTTTTTTGTCCACCCCCTAGAAACCTATGAAAGGTAATGTAGAATATTCTCTATAATTTCATCATTGATATTCTGAAGCTATATTTTTATATTCTTCAATCTTATGGGGCTAAAGAGTAATCAATGAAAATTCAGAAACCACTTTCCACACTTACCTCTGACATGCTCTGATTTACAAGTTGCTAATAGATTTTTCTGAGACTGACTCCCATTAAATTTATAACCAATAGAAAGTCTAGATTTCAACTGATTCATTGCCATAGTAATCATACCACATGTGCTTACAGATAATTGACAATTTGGTTTGATGTGGAAAAACATTATCCCATGGAAAGAATAGTTAAATTTCTAACTGCTCAAGTCACATGATTAGAGATGCTTGAATACCAGCACCAGCAACCTGGTACTGCCGGTACTATTGCAAACCCTGATTCCTATATGTCGTTGAAATTGGTAGAAATATAACACATTGCTATTTATCCAGTGTTAGTTACATGTACCTTTTTTGTGCATGAACTATTATCCTATGTAGGTATCTGTAGTTGTCAAATTGGAACGTTTTGTATGGCAATGAATACCAAAAAACACAAGGTTACTTTATTGATAAAATTGGAAAGTTAACTTCAATATTCAAAAGAAAAGAATTGCAAGAAAGACTTGGAAACCTGTTTGTTCTGAAATGGATACTTAAAGAAAAAATCATGCAAGTCTCAGCACATTACATGTGCTTGGTTGTATCTTTGCTCATGTTTCATTATGTCATGCATTTGTATTGGTACATGTTCCTTTTATCTATTGCCAATGGCTGTGAACAGGGATATTCTTCACCAGTTAGCAAAATAGGAAACAGAGAATATATTTCTGTAAAACTGAGTCCAAAATTATTATAACATTTCTAAGTCAAAAATACTATTCTTATTCTAAAGGCAAAGCTGATATAAGAATGCATATATCAATATCATAACAGTGTTTTTACATGCATCTCCAATGCATTTTGCATCAGTAAGAGCTGTAGTATCCTGGCTTGTGAATCACATTCACTGTACTTACATTTATACATTAGCAAAAACCAACTCGATTAAAATTCTTGTAACTATAGTCCTAAGAAAAAACTTAATATCTGCCTTTAAAAGAGATATGGTAGTTGATCAGTAGCAAATAATATACATTTGTATCTACAGATGTCAGTATATTAGCATTTAATAATTGGTGTCACATGCCACACAGATACACCTCTGTGTGTAATATTTTTAAGTAGGGAACTTTTGGGCATATTATTAATGAACTTTTAAACACTGAATGTATGTTGTTTTATCCAGCAACCAGATACAGGATCAAGAAGAACACTTGTCTCAACATCACCTGTGCTAAATGAAATAGATGCTCCTAGGCATTTTTTGTCAGCTCAAATTTCTGACTCTTCAGATACAATGGAGGAAGTTGATTTGGTGATTGAAAGAAGTACTAATGTTGAAAAGTCTCTGTATTTAGAAGACAGTGGGATTCTTTCAGATGTGGGATCATTATCTTCACCTAGTGAAATGCATGATACTTGTAGTTCTGACCAAGAAACATTTAGCTCAAATGTCAATTACAATACATGTAAATTTCCAAAAGATGAAGCAACAACTAAGGAAACACATTTTGACATTAATGACAAGTCACAACTGTCTGAAATAGAATTACCTCTATTTACATCTAATGAAACATCATCTGTACATGTATCTGGAAATGATTGTTGTGTGGACAATGCAAGATTAAAGCATGAAACATGCTTGACACCTTCTCCATGTAAAGTAAAAGAGAGTATTGAAAGACCATCTTTAACAGATAGTAATGAAAACTGTTCAACCTCTAAAGAAAACAAATCTTTGAAAATCTTAAATCGAAATATTCCAGTAACAACAAATGTTATAGAAAATAAAAAGGAAAGTGTTCAAGTAGGGACATCTAATGAATACACACACAACTGTTCATGTACCACTAGTGAAAGAATTTCTGGAAGCACCAAGAACAAAAATTTAGTCATTTTTGAAGAAGATGCATTTGAAGACTATGAAAGGGAGCTAAAAGAACTAAAGATTCAGTATTCTAAACAATACCAAGAACTGAAAGAAAAGCATGACAATGAAATTGGAAATCTTTCACAAAAACTGGCCAATGTTAATGCAAGGTAAAGGTTTTGATTTATCTTTGAAAAAACAAACAAAACATTGAGAAAAGTATGATGTATGTATAAGAATAGCACTTACTGAGTTTAGCTGATATGTTGAAAATATAATTAGATAATAAACAAATAAAAGGTCATACAGCTTATACATAATGAATTGTATGCACATGTTATATGTGGAAATACATGTACAGTGTACAAGTGTATGTGCAATTGAATATTTTGTTGTTGTATATACACATGGATAAAATCATGTTCAAATACATAGTTATGTATAGTAGAACGATGGCCACTACAATGAACATTTGACACGTGTGTACAGTAACAAACATTTAATTCTTACATTGACAATACTATATGCTAATAACACCTGCGAGCCTCAAACATATGGTAGTATCAAGTAGAACTGGTAAAAAAAAAACTATCAAATCCACCAGACTCCACAATTCACACACATAGTGAAAACAACTGCCCCATTTTGATTATGAATTTCAAAGTCATCTCATCTGGATCATCCAGTATTGAACTTTTAATTAAAGAAAGTTTATCTATTATAAATGAACTCCCAACTTTAAATAATAACACAGCTTCACTACCATTAAGTCTGTTTTGAATAACTTGTATAATATTGTTACAGCTATTGCATTGTCATATTCTTTCTTGTTTATTTGTTTGTTCTTTAATTTACATCATTCTTTTATTCTGTATTTTAGTTACTCTTTATAAAACATTTGAACTTTATACATTTTTGTACCTAATATTTTACCCTGTTCAATATGGTTTGCTGTAGATGGAATGTTTGTTACTGTACACACACGTATCAAATGTTCATTGTTGCTGCCATCATTCTACTGTTCATCATTAAACTTCAATTCCTGTCAAATGAATCTGTTCATAGTTATGTATAGATTGGCAGAAAACTATATGTAAAGTATTTCCAAAACATACATACCTTCGCTGATACTTGTAGCTATTTCTCGATCTCCATCTTTGCCATCTAACATTGTGTTCGCGTGTTACACTCTTTATATACCCCACTTGACTGCTCTGCAAAACTTTACACCGGCCCTCACACACCCTCTATGCAGGTACTGTGTATAAGCACTGTATTCAGACAATATAATCACTTTTTCTTGACAAAGTTCATGGGTTGAGAGACACGTTTTGTGGTTTACATTTTCATTAGTTCAGAAATAAGTCAAGTTTTAAAGAAACATTTTGTTTCTTCACCCTAGTGAAAGCTGTTTGCAACCTATCATTTTTTACCTGTTGTGCCAGTAGTTTATATTTTAGCTGTTTACGAAGGCTTTTTCATATAATTTTTAATTTTTTTTACTCTTCCTTTCACATCAGAGGGCAAGGTTTTGTGTTGTTTAATTTTGAGATATTTTACTAGAGTGGTTTTTGCCAGGTTTTTGACTGCCTTGGACATTACTCAAGAAATTGGAAGATTCAATATTTGAGACCTTGTGTCTACACATAGTACTAAAGAGGATGTGGTGATCATAACATTAATGTTTAATCTGATTAATTTATTGATACTATATACAGAAATAATAAAAATGTCCATGATTTTAGAAATGTTAAGTTTCAGAAACTACAAGATATGCTGAGAGAGAAATTTATTGTTTAATCTGAATGTGTAGAATAGTAATGAAGCTTTTTCTAGTTAGTTCAATCAAGTTAGCCACAGAAAGAAATGTATATTTTTACAAAATTTTATGTCCCAACCAAAATTAAACTTTAATAAATGAACTACTTCTAGCATATATAACAATATGAAATTCGCTTTTAAAATTGTAGATGCTTAGCTTTATAGACAAAAAAAAAAAAAAAAAAAGTTAGTCATTAAGGATAAAGAGGGATTATTAAAGTCTCTTGGTTCAAAACATCAAATTTGATTTGTATGGCTTTTATTCTCAAGCTAGTTCAAAAGATCAGATTGTAGGCCTGACTATTTTTATCCTAAGACCTTGAAGAAGCTTAGCAAATAGTTTGTTTAGGTTTTAAATATATTTTCTGTACATCTTCATAGGAAAGTTCTTGAAGACTGAAAAAGTACCAAGGTGATGCTTGTTTTTAAAAATAAAGATTCCAAGTAGGATATGGGAAACCATAACTTATTAGTTTCACTTATTGTTAACAAGTTTGGAAACTGTTTTCAGAAGAACTTTGAAAGAAGTTTGCAAAGTTGACATTTAATTAAGGATTGGGAGAGGGTATTCCATTGATGTTGTTTACTTTGGCTTTAAGAAAGCTACTGATAAAGGGCCTTATAAAAGATTGATTAGTTGAGAGGATGTTTATTGTTTGGGTGAAAAAGTTAAGAAGTGGATAAGAAATTGGTTTAATATGATAAAAAGCAAAAAGTGATGGACTGGTAAATGGATATTTTTCTGACTGAGAAAATGTGGTTACTTGGATTCTTCAATAGCCTATTATAGGATGTGAACTGTGTGATATGTTAATGATTTAGGAAAATATTTTGACAGTAATATTTCTAAATGGATGGATTCAGTTCAGACATTCCAACTTATTAAGTATTTCTGATTTAAATAAGCTAACTCTATAGATCAAATCTAAAAGTATAAATTAATGAAGTCAATCTTGTATAATAAACTGACTAAGAGTACATAATGTCAATTATTACTCATGAAAAATGTTTAGATGGCATTAACTCATCATTTGGATACTTTTGACACTAATAGTATTTTCATTTGTAATCTCAGTAATATCTTGTAAGGTTTGGCTAGCTGGCATGTAGGGAAATTTACACTTTTTAATCCTTATTGATCATATTTATGTTGTTAGTGCTGAGTTGCCTGCTGATATCTGTGGTTGAGTTCACAATCATGTAGATGCTCATGTTGAAGAGCAGAGTTTGTCAGCTAGCCCTAATCTTGAAGCTTCTTCTAGTCTGATTGATTTGTTTTCTCAGATGTGTTCTATTTTAAATTTTGAACCAATTTGTGGTATATCTGAGGTGCTAGTGTCATTTTGGATGACTCAGTTCTTGAATTTAGTTATTTCTGATGCTCAGGCCATTGCTGATGCTTTTAGAAATCAGCAAAATGTTACTAGTATTCAAATTCCTCACAATTCTGATGTGGGTGGCATTTTTGCAGGATTATCTTATCTTTCACTGCTCATCCTACTTTTCAAGTTCTTGTTCTTGATATTGGTTATTGTGAGAGAGAGAGAGAGTCTTTTGCTTGGTTTTCTGGTTTGACTCATTGGCAGTTTTCTACCCTGAACACTATGATTTGTCTTATTTGTCTTTCTTCTCCAGCACAATTGTTAGTTATTAGCTACTCTTGTTCTCCCAATTATTTTAGTGAATATCCATTAGCTTTGACTCTCACTGGTCTATTTTCTTTTACTATGTAGCTTTTATGATTTTTCAATACCTTGGCCTGTCATACTGTGTTGCAAAATACTCATCTCCCCCCCCCCCCAACATTTTAGCTGACCCAGAAAGAGTTTCTTGCCTGTACCATTTTGTCTTTGCAGAAATTTGAGGTTACAAATTCTAGATCAGGAAGTCTCAAATCTCCTTCAGAAAGATGCAGGTGGAATTATTTTTTGCACTTTTTCAGGTCTTTACTCCTATCTCTTTCGTTCTGAAGAAACAAGAAGATTGGTGATCAATCATAGACATTTCCCAACTCAGTCATTACATGCAGACATCTTGTTTCTAAACATAAAATTGTTTTTTGAAAGTTTCTCCATTGTGGACACTGTATGATAAAGGTGGATGTACAATCCAGTCAAGTGAATTTTATTTTGGTTCAAGATTCTACTCATGGAGAACCAGTTCTAACACCCCTTTAAACAATTACAGGGGCATCATGGTCTCTCCTTTATAATATGAAACTCTTTGTTTGTGGATACCTCCAACAGGACCTTGTTTCTTAGTGGGATCTGAATTCAGACATATCGTCACACAGCATATCTATTTCTTTTATTACTCAAATTTTTACAGTTTTGGTTGAATCAAAAGTTTAAGACAGCAGATTCTCATTTTCTTTCTTGTCCTTTCAACCTTTGTCTTTTTATAGATATGTCTCTTATGGGTTGTGCACAATGTTGGGGCATCACTGTCATTCTGGTTCTTGGACTGCTCAGGAAGCAACAGCTCATATCACCATGCATAAACTTTGGGCTGCTCAGCATGTTTGAATTGAACTTCTGCCTCTTCTATACCATCATTCTTTGTTCATTTACACAGATAATTCTATAGTGGCAGTTTAAATCAACAATAAAAGTGGTACTTGTTCTTTCAGCCTTTGCTTTTGTTACAGTTTCTGTACTTCTTTGGCTTCATTTTCAACTTGTTCACCTTTGAGCCTTTCACATTCCTGAAGTGATGAACATTTTTACACTTTCTCTATCTCAAGATTATTAGCTTCTCTTCATGAAGTGGACCTTCCACTCCTTGATTTTTCATTGTCTGTGCAAATGTTTGGGTTGTATGAATACTGATGCATTTGCTAAGTCAGACAGTTCTCTTATTCCACCTTATTGGTCTTCAATTCCAGGTCCAAATTCTTTGGCAGTGAATGCCCTGTGTCAATGTTGGGAGAACCTCTACCTTTACACTAACCTGTCTATCTGCCTTCTTCCTTGGGTACTTGCCAAAATTAGTTGCTCAAAGTACTGGGTTTTCCTTATTGCATTACTATTGTCAGCTCAACCATGGTTTCCCTTGTTACATTGGCTTTCTCAAGGAGAACCAGTCTCAATACCATATGGAAACATCTTGTATGCCAACCTCAAATGTCCATTTTCTACAGTGACTGGCTGTTGTTTGGTCTATTGTCTGAGAACTCCTCAGCAGATTGCTTCTTTCTATATGTATTTATTTCATGATTGTGGCTTATCAGATTTTCCCACTGATAGGTAGCACTGTCTTATCTACCACTTGGAGATACCTATTATTTAAAGAACTTTTTCAAGCTTTTTGCTTTCAAACCCCAAGTTCCCAGACGTTTTTGTAAATTGGCCTTGGATTTAGTCTTGTATTTCTTCACTTCTATTGCACCCTTAATGTTTTGTTTGCTGCATCACCTTTCCCTGAAATCATTTTCTTGAATTATTTGCATTGGGCAAAAGACATTCTGATACTTATTTCCTTGATGCTTTATGTACTTTAATTTCTTGGAAGGCCTTATACTCATATTGAGCCTTTATACTTCACACTTAGGCTGCAAGAGAAGATAAGCGTAATAGATGGCTGGTAGATGTAGTTGTTTTGGTTTGACTTTACACAAGTTACAAGTAAATTTATTTATTACCAGGTTATGGGTTAAGCACACAAACCACCAATTCGAGGAGTTTACTTTGGGAAGAAACAATTCACTCAGAGTCTGATTATCGCAACACAAAAAGAAGTTTAATTCAATATATTCAAGGGGTTGTCTGAATTAAAAGTTTCAAAACTATTTTGAAATAACCCGACATCCAAATTGTTAAATTCTTTGTTTTAGATAGCTAAATGCTCAATTTTTTTTTAAAGGCACTTACTCTAGCTCTGGTGTCCAATATCATAAACATTCATTACTTTCTCTCATGGAATCATATCTATTCGCCACCTCTAAGAAGGACTGCAAACTTCTACTTCTCATGTTACAGTCTGGAATGTATTTCCAAGTGATTTGTGTACTCTGAGTTTTTCATATCCTTATTTGGTCATCTCACTGGACTGTTAGCATTAAATAATTTCATGGCCTTATTTATTCAACAGTTCTTCTTTAAATCTCTATTATGCATTTGTTATTATGTTTCTTTATCTTTAGGTATATAAGAAATATCTGTTTTCCAAAACTTCTAGCATTTGTAATTTAGCAAATGGTTCACAACTGTTTCTAACCTGCTCTGATTGATCTTGATTATTGTTTGGAGGATCATTTTTTTTATGTCCTGTCAAGGCTCTTTATTGTTATTTCACATGTACTGAATCTTTCACAAAGTTTTGGAAACAATTGTTTATACCTTAAAACAAATCAAACTCCTGGAGTCGTGCTTCCACTATTGAGCCAGCTTGTTTACAGTGGTGTTCCAAATCACCTTAAAAGTATATTTCAGGTTAAATTTCATCAATTTAGCATTTGATGATGTCTTTGTCATCCTGTCACAATAGACTTTAGAGTGTATTCTGCAGGCTGGCATGTGTACAAATCGGAACATGTTCATATAATTTTATTTACAGCACACTGTCTTTCTTTAGCTTTAAGATTCCAATTTCCTCTAGTGATTCTTCAACACCCATGGAGGCCCTAGCAGGTGAGTTCTTTTCTGTTACCTGCTTAGTTACCACACAATCCCTACTTATGATATGCATAATAATCCAGGTATATCTATCCTGTCCAATTCCCCTTTTTAACAGTTAGAGGAGCATTACGGTCTCTCCTTTATAAAACGAGACTCCATGTCTGAATGGATTCATCCGGTCAGGAATCATGCATATTATATTCACCTTCACAGTTGTTCTAGAGAAAAATTCCACCCATTGCATTGGTGCTTAATGACAGAGTTCTGGAAGTGAACAGAGGATACCTTCTAGTAATTAAAAATGCCTTAGTGGGTACTTTTTCACTTCCATCTTTACTTCAATGTGTAGTATTTGAGACATCGGAGATGAGAAGACCATTCTGCATATGATATTTCATAGCTCCAACCAAGATGGAGAACACCTTACAGCTTTATTTTTATTATTTCTTAAACTTATTTGATATTCCCATTGCACTGTCATATTCTCTCTGAAATTGGTGTTCTGCAATTTCAGTCTCATATTACCAGCCAAAATTCAGATATCAGCAAAGGAATATAAGATTTATGCCAGACAATATTTTGTAACATCTCTAACCAAAGAATAATGAGCTCTTAACTCCAAAGGAACATTTTTATTTTCACTGGATGCTACTAAAATGTTGTCTTTATGAGGATTTTTAAACTGTGGTAAATACAGTAAATCAATATTATTTCACTAAACATATAACAACAAAAAACATCCTTGATTGTACATCAGAATTCCCCAGTTTGCAGTCCTAAGGGGAGAGGCAGGGGGACTCCAAGAAAGTTAATGAAGGTATATAACTTTAACCATATTTCCATTTTTATAATAAAAGAAAGCCCATTCAGATGTCATGTGAAACAAAATTGTTACTATGGTCTGACAATATTCACAGTGCATTTAGTATCATGACCTTGTTGCTTTATCATATTTATATAAATTAGAATTAATGAAAAATACAAAATCTTGTTGTCTTTTGAAAATGCTCTCATTTGTGCATCACAAACACCACTCCATGAATTGAACAGCTTTGCTTATCCAAGTAGACACACAGTTAAGTTATATTCATTGTTTTTGATACATTTTTTTTTTTTTATTTTGTGTTATGAAGATAACATTTATACTCTAGATATACTCTGTTTTATATACCATAATGTTAAATTTTTCAGGTACCTTGAACTACAGCCTATGTATGAAAAAGCTCTTGATCAAATTAAGTGCTTGGAAAATCAAGTAGTGAAGTTGAAGAAAGACATTTCAGCTCAGGAGGAATGGCACAAACAAATGTACCTCAAAATGTACAGGTTTGTATGGTGTTAACAGTTTCTTCGGAGGTATAATACAAATACAGTTTATTACCAGAAAAGCATTCTCTTTTATTCTATCATATTTTCTGCTAAACTATTAAGTGTATACAAGATAATATGACTATTATATTGACTTTGAAGGATTAATGTAAATGTTCCACTCACAATAATTACATGTATCATCTTATGGTCTACCAGAGAATTTAATATTGAACGTTTTTGAGTATGTTTTCATCTGTAATGTTAGGAAATCTATACTATAAATAGCACAAGGCTATCCTTATACTCAAATAGATAAGTTTAACTTAATTTAAATTGAAGTATTCAGATTTAAATTATTAATTGAACTGCAGTTAATTGTTTAGAAAATTTTAATCTGTTGATGACTCTGAATTTCAAGGTGTGGCTAATACATGTGATTTTGATAGCTACTTGTAATTCTGAATGTGTGTATTATGTATTATTGTATTTGTCTAAGTTTTACTGTACCTTCTGAAACACAGGTCATTCCAAACATCACTTGGTATTGCATCAAGTGTTCTGGGTATAGGTGCTTAAATATTCCAAATTTTGGGGTAATTAACTGTTCAGCACTTAAGAAAAATGCTTCTTTTTCCTTTTGTTATTTCCTATTTATTTTGGGAATTACTCATTTTTTTCATTACTGTATACATAAATATTTCTTTGTATCACTTTAACTGTAAGATTTTTGTTGTCACATCTCAGTTAAGTATATTATACAGTGTGAGTTGCATACATAAACAGGGTATTCTGGCTTATGTTGTATGCATGCAAGTGAAGGAAATATACTTTTTAGTGAAGCACACTTTGTAGCTTCCTTGTGCACTTCGGTTCACTTTTTTTTTTATTTTTTATCTTAGTAGCATTGCTTATATGTGTGAAAACTTAAGTGATTATTACAAAAATGTGAACATGTAGAATATATGTATGAGAAAAGCATAAGCATAATGATTTTTTGTATTCTTTGATTTGTTATGAAAACATTATCACAGTTACGCTTACTGTATCTCCTAGAAAAGGGCAAGAAGCAGCAAAATTTGAGCATGCTGATGAGGTACTAGAATTTGCACAACAAGCACCAAAGAAGATATCGGTACCTGAACTATTACAACAACTGCGTCAAACCAAACAGGAATTAGAACAAGCCAAAGAGTTGTATCGAAGTGAGTTATATCGCAAAGCTACCACAGGATCACCTCATCATCAGGCTGAGTATACACTGAAGTTTTTGAAAGATGCTGTTTATTATTTTCTTACAGAAAAGGATAACAAAGGCCATCTTAATGCCATTGAGAGCATCTTAGGGTTTTCTGAGAAAGAGAGAGGGGCAGTTGCTAAATCACTAAAACACCGAAGAATCTGACCTGTATGTTTTTTCTTTACAAAACACTGAAAATGGCAGTTGTACTTTACTTAGTAGCTAAAATTAACATGTATGATAAAACTCCCATATATGAGACGTAATGTGTCAAACTGTTTATATGTGAGTGTTTATGCAAAATTTAAACAAAATTCAGAATCAAAATATAAAAAATATTTTAAATTTGTTATAAACTCTGGTATTTGATTTTAGCGATTGCAAAAGGTCATATTGATTCAAAAATTGACATACATTTTGAGAACCATTAGATGAAAATAATATTACAGTGGCCAAAATGACATATTAGTTACAAATACCTAAATATATATAAAGATTTATAATGAATACATACAGCAGTTTTCTGCTTATAAATATCTGTTATGTACATACATGAAAACACATTTATTTATACACACACGTACATGAGTATATAGATGTATGTACATGTGTTTACAATAGTATAAATATTATTTTTAGTTAATCAAATTCACATGTTGCAAGTTACAAAAGATATACACAGTGGAGTACCAGATAAACTATTAGAATAATTAATGTGCTTTTAAAATGATTTACATTATGTAAAGTAGATTTATTAATTTCTAACTCACAGTAAATGTAAGAAAATATGTATGTGGGTGCATATTTACATAAACATGTTCTCTTTGTTTAAGAATTTTTTTCATTGTTGGCCTTAATTAAGAATTTGATTAAAATCAACATCTGCATCACTGTCACTTAAGATGTGTTTGAGTATTTTCCGTCAGATAGGAACTTTGATATTTGCTTATGTTATCACACAAGTTTATAGCCATCTCATTGTGGAAATAATATACATAGTCTTTTGCTTATTAAGGATACATAAATTGGTAAGTTACATTAACTGTCTTCTGTGGCAGTATAATGTTTCTGTATTTGAGAAAATACTCCAATTGCCATCCTGGTTTAAAAATGCATTGAAACTGTATGCATGAGTAAACTTTGTGAATAAACTTATTGAGCTGTTCTTTAAAATACAAAATATCTAACAAGATAAGATAAATCAATAAATGCTGAAATCTTAGACTTGTTTAGATTGCTCAATAAAGTTTTGCTTGTTTAAATTGTCATTGATCATATCAATGGGAAATCCATTCTTGTCTCAGTACTTCTTGGTATCATCAAATTCTTTGTGTACAAAAAAAATCATAGGTGATTGTGATTTTATAAGGATGATGAATCAATATTTTAGTTAGTTTTTTCTTGAATAATATTGGTATGATACTTGAAAAACTGCAATAAAGACTTTTGAATGTTTGTTTTTATTAAATGGTGAACTTCACATTAAATTTACCGTTATAGTTTTGAAGTAAGATCTTTAAAACAAAAAATGAGTTGATGGTCTTGATGATGGTTTACTGTAAACAGAATGTGTTATGTTTAATATTAAGGTTATATTATAAACACTGAGAAACTTGTTTGGGATCTTTAAAAATTATAAAGGTATCATATGTATTTACGTATTGGTAGTGTAAGGGTTTGAATGAGTGTGGACTCATTTAACCATACCACTTTTTTTTTAAAGAAAGTAAGGATTAACCAAGGAGTTAGTATTCTTAAAGTCATAACTACATCATCTGTTTGATCATAAAGAATATTGTTGAACAAAAACAAGATCTCTTAATAACAAAATTCACGAGTTTTAAAAAACTTGCATAAGGATCCACAACTTGTTTTCATTGTAGTTATAAACTTAAGTCGGTACTGTATTTGTGAAGTTTCTTCTAAGATAGTATTGGTATACAAAGACTACATTGAAACTAGCTTATTAAATGTTACTATCAGAGTTCTGTATTTCACTGGCCCGGGCATGGCCAGGTGGCTAGGGTGCTCATCTCGCAATCTGAGATTCCCCGTCCCACCAAACATGCTTGCCCTTTCAGACATGGAGGCATTATAATGTGACAGTCAATCCCACTATTCATTGGTAAAATAGTAGCCCAAGAGTTGGCGGTGGGTGGTGATGACTAGCTGCCTTCCTTCTAGTCTTTCACTGCTAAATTAGGGATGGCTAATGCAGATAGCCCTTGTGTAGCTTTGCACAAAATTCGACACAAACCAAACCTGAATTTCACTTCATAATTTCAAACTATCTCTCAGTGTATGTATATATTCATTATTTGTAAATTTCCCCAAAATTTAACTAAAAACCTTACTAATGTATGACTATAAGTACCAATATTGGAAATGATGAATCTCAACAAACATCCTACTTTCATAGCATAGGAATACTGTAAAATTCCTTGAAGAGTTCCTGGTTGTTTAAAATCAAAATATTCTGTCTGGGTTAAGAAATTGACATTTGTTTAATTCCATCATATACCATTGTAATTTAATTTCTTCAGTATTAGTGGGAACCTGATTTAGTTTTGCCAGTTTCGTTGTGTCTCAAGAAACTAACACCCTTTCCCAAATAACCTGAAACAGTATTGTTTCCTTATTCAATATAATTACGATATTATTCTTATTTTTTTACTAAGATTTTTTCAGTGCTTGTATCTTTTCTTTACTTGCATTGAAAGACCCATAATGGCTGGAGCTAGGATTTTAGTTTGAGTGATGATGATGTAATTGTGGGGTTGGGGGTCAGCCACAGCAAGTTTTGCATTTTCATTCTGAGAACAGGCTAAAATAAACACTGTCCAGTACATATGTTTTTTTTTGTTTTTTTTCAGTGGTGAAATGTAATGAAATTTTTAACATCAAACATAGTATTGATTCTATTGCCTATTTGAAATATGTGCCACTGATCTCCTAAGCTGTGTTCAAAGAGATAATTCCATTTCAGACTTAATACATTCAATATTGCAAAATATCCTGTGGAGGATATTTCCATAAATTTACCTGTTTTTTTTTATAAGAACATGTGCATATGTTTATTTTTTGACAAGAAAAATGTTTGGTAAAGTGACAAGCATAGTATAGCATGTTGTGTAGTCAAAGAAGCTCATTTTTAAAATCCTCAAATCCTTGAAAGCTAATGATCACAAATAAATGTTAAAAAGTGTTTGTGATGGGGGGGGGGGGATTTATGTTAAATATAATGGAAAACAAATCAGTAATTGTCAAGTAATAACAATATGTAAA